GCCTGTAGTCCCAACTACTTGGGAGGCTGAGGCAAGAGAATCACTTAAGCCCAAGAGTTTGAGGTTGCTGTGAGTTCTCACGCCATGGCACTCTACTAAAAAAACAAACAAACAAAAAAACAACTAAGGCTGGGAACAGTGGCTCATGCCTGTAATCCTAGCACTCTGGGAGGCTAAGGCCGGAGGACTGCTTGAGCCCAGGAGTCTGAGGTCTCAGTAAGCTATGACAGACACCACAACATTCCAGCCTGGGTGACAGAGTGAGACTCTATCTCAAAACAAAACAGAACACTCCACAGAACTAATCCAAAGTTAAATAAAAAGATATCCTTTCTTTACCTGATGGGCATAAATAGTATCATATATTAGTGTCCACATAACTCCAGAAAAATACAGTGGCAGGCAAACAGCTGGATCACAGGAACCCTTGATAGCAGACCATCCAAGCAACGCTCCCCAGTTAAATGTCAACCCTATAATTAGTAAACCACAAAAAGGGGAAAAGCCTAAATGTACTTTAGAATTCCAAGGAGACAGGCATCAGCATGTATTCAGTGCTTCCTGTGTATCAGGCTGTGTTTTCTGTATGCACCTTCATTAAATCCTCTCAGCCCTCGGTGGTAACTAACTCCCTTTTACAAAATAGGAAACCTGCTCAGAGAGGATAACTAACAATTAAAATAACACAGCTAACAGAAAGAATAATATCCCCCAGTAAAATAGGAAGTTTAATGAGAACATTTATCCTAGCTAGCATGGTAGACAAACGGAGATTCCGAGTCTGAACTTAGACCTATCTCACTCAAAAACCTGTGTTCTTTCCATCTCCACTCTACTTCCCCTATATGCTGTAGCAACAGAATTTGCTAATTTATTTATTTATTTGAAACAGAGTCTCACTATGTCACCCTCAGTAGAGTGCCATGGTGTCACAGCTCACAGCAACCTCAAACTCCTGGGCTTAAATGAGTCTTTTGCCTCAGACTCCCAGTACCTAGGACTACAGGTGCCCACCACAATGCCTGGCCATTTTTTGGTTGCAGTTGTCATTGTTGTTTAGCAGGCATGGGCTGGGCTTGAACCTGCCACCTTTGGTGTATGTGGCTGGCGCCCTACTCACTGAGCTATATGGGCGCTGAGCCCCAAATGTCTTTTCTCAGAAACCCTTTCAGCTCCTATATTGCCTACTTACATTCAGAATGTCTCCTCGACTGATTATGTGCCTGACCTCATGGTCCGACAGCACTCACACATGCCACACTGTACTGCAGTGACTTGTTTATCTCTTATTTCCTTTTTCAGCTCCTTAAAATGGCAAAGTTGTTTTAATTATTTTTATTTTCCTAGTACCTGGTGCAATCCCTGGCACAAAGTAAGAGTTCAATAAATGAAGTAAATATATTAGCTTCTTGTATATAGGAAATGCTTGTGTTCTTTTTACCATGATTCCCACATCCAATGAGAATATAATTTTCTACCATTTTTTTTAATAGTAAAAAGAAAGAACATTCAATGAGACGATCTTAGAAAAAAAACAATATCCTATCACAATTTTCCCATCAATCAAGCTCACATCAATTTCTGGAAGTATCTTTTAGTTTTTTTATTTACTGGAAAAATGACTCAAAAAACTAGAATTGTTCTAGGAATATTCTAGAATACTCTAAGAATAGAAAAATCTGGTAATAGATATTTTTGCAATAGATTGTGACTTACCTACCTATCTCTCTTTTCATCAACAAATATGTATTGAATACCTATGCTGTGCCAAGCACTATAGCTGCTGGGCCACAGATGAAGAATACTTTATCTTTTAGTCATTTACAATTTACTGATGGGGAAACACAGGATATCAAACACCTTTTCATGAAATAACTAGATTTTTAAAAAAGCATTTCAGAAAATAATAATGATCATAATGATTATCTTCATAAATACACAAGATTTCTTAGTTAATATAAGTGGCTAACTGCCTTCCTTTAATATGAAAGTCTATTCTTGCTTTGGAAAATGTCATGACTGATTTGACATTTCATCTCTGCCTACCTACCTATACATGTACAGTTTGAGCATATCAAAGGAAATACTCAAAGTTATTTCAAGCTCACCCAAGGCTAATTGAGGCCAGTATGTAATTCTTTTCATTAGTGGGTAGGTGATGACAAGAAGTAAGGATGCTGCTCCCAGAGCTATACTGAAAACAAGGAAAGCCAATAAAAAGATTATCTCTGAGAAATTCTAAACACTTTAAGACAACATTAGTAATACCAAGTTGAAGATATTATTTATCTTAAATTATATTTTTTGTTAAGTAAATTCTCTTCTTACATTTTGACCTTTCCTATTATAAAGGATGATTTAGAATATTTAAAATGTTACAAAACAATGATACAAAGTAACAGCTAACACACAGTACTTTAATGTCTCAGGCACTGTTCTAAATGCTTTACATTTCTGTACTTTACATTTCTGTTAACTCTGTATAATCTTTACAACTACCCTAAGATCCAGGTAGTTTTATTCTCCTCCTTTTTTTGCAGATGAGGAAACTGAAGCACAAAGAAATGAAGTAATCTGCCGATTGGCACAGCTGATCAGTACGATGGCCCCGATTCAAACCTCAGGCAGCCCGGCTCCAGAGTCCACCCTACTAACCATGTAGGCAACCTTTTTTTTTTCCTCTCTACTGCATATTAGAAGAATAGGAGCTGTCTTGGGCCACACATTAAATATACAAACACTGAGGAAGGCTGATTAGCAAAATATAGGTCTATGCATGCTTTTCATGGTATCTGATACCACAGACAAGCAAAAAGGATCCTCACAAAATCAGCATGTGATCCATGGGGTACAAGTTGGATACCCCAGCCATATGCAGTTGCTTCTCTCAACTCCATTTACAAACATTAAGGCATCTAATAAACTCAGATATCCTGAGAATTAGTAAGATATCCCTCTTCATACGTAAAACTGGAAGTTACTTCTCTAGACAAGGAAAGCACCTATGAAAACATGATAAATAAGACGTTCTTAGGCATCTCAAAGTTCATCTAAGACTCCTTCCAGGAGTAACCTCCTAAAGGTGTTCTCGTGTTATTGACGCTATCAGGACAAGGCATGCACCTGAGTCTAGTCTCCACAAAGTAATACTTATTTACTGACACCTCCTTCCCTTTGTCTTTTTTTCTTCCCTAATTGATGTACTTTGTAAGCAGCCATCTGATGTACAGAACTTTAGTTCTGCCTCTGTCTAAAACAGTGGTTCTCAACCTTCCTAATGCCGCAGCCCTTTTAATAAGTTCCTGTGGGTCAGGAACAGGTTGAGAACCACTTATCTAAAAGATACAGTAACGAGTCCTGCTCCTTTTTTCTTCTGGCATTGATTAGTAACACGACTCTGAGAAAGACATAGTTGCTTTCTGCAAAATGAATATAATCACTTTTTTTTCCATCTACTTCACAGACAGTATCAGCATGAATAAAACTGTGCATATATACATGGGTATACACACACACACACACCCCCATGCACATACTTAGAAAACTTAAGAAAGTGTCTTGTGTCCTTTAAGGCTGCAGTACCGGTTTATGGCCTATTAGGAACTGGACTGCACAGGAGGAGGCAAGCGCCCAAAGCTTCATTTACAGTCGCTCCCCATCGCTCGCATCACCACTTGAGCTCCACCTCCTGTCAGATCAGTAGCGGCATCAGATTCTCACAGGAGTGCAGACGCTACTGTAAACTGCACATGAAAGGGATGCAGGCTGTTTGCTACTTCTGAGAATCAATGCCTGATGATCTCAGGTGCAGCTGAGGGGAAGATGCTAGTGCTGGGAAGCAGCAGTACCGGTTATCATTAGCAGAGAGGTTTGACTGCACAGAGACCATAATAAGTCAACTGCTTGCAGATTTATAGCAAAACACCCCCACCTTCTGTCTGTGGAAAAACTCTTCCATGAAACCAGTCCCCGGTGCCAAAAAGGTTGGGGACCATGAGGGGCAAATATTGAAGGTGGCTCATAATAAATGAAACGCTGATCTCTTAACTTCTTTGGCTGAAAGCATTTTGAAGCAGAGTATACAATGTGCAATAAGTTATTTAGATACTTGATAGGTAGCCAATAAACTCTGTGAGAAAGATATTTCAGTTTTATTTTATTCCTACTTTTTCTGGAAAATTTCAAAAGAGAACTTTTATACATAACTATGGAAAACACACTTAATATACCTGTAATAATTCAGACACAGAAGAACACCCAGTGCCAAGGTCAGCTGTCCTCCAAGAAAAACAAAGGACTGAAAAGTTGAGATGTCTCCAGCAGCTATTGGGCGATTTGCGGTTCTTGTAACCTTAACACATAAAAACAGATACCTTAGGTTCATGGAATTGCTCAGTTACTTATTTAAACATTTAATCAGAAGAATGGCCCATGGTAGGTACTAAGGCACAAAGATGAATAAAGAGTGAAATCAACATTTGAAGTACTGCCAAGAATCAAAACTTCCCATTTAGGATGCCTTTGACAAGAACTAAAAATTCCCGTCACTCATTCCCCCTTCTCCCTTCCCCACCTCCAAACAAGCAAAACAAAGCTAATTCCTTATCTAGCCATTCAGCTACACAGCATATCAAGTGTATGTTCAATGTCCAAAGAAAAAGCCTAAAATATTTATTTACTAACTGGTCTTCAACAGAAAAAGTTTGCTGACTGGATTTATGTCACACTTCACTCTGAGATAAAGCAGCTTGTCAACAATTGTGAGTAATGACTCATCCTGTTTTGAGTACCAGAACTGGATCTTTTATTCCTAATTTGAATCCTGGAGTTTGAAATAGAAAATAATATTTGCTTTGGGCAGAGCTTGTGGCTCAGTGAGTAGGGCTCCAGCCCCATATACCGAGGGTGGTGGGTTTGAACATGGCCCCGGTCAAATTGCAACAAAAAAACAGCTAGGCATTGTGGGGGGCGCTTGTAGTCCCAGCTACTTGGGAGGCTGCGGCAAGAGAATCACCTAAGCCCAAGAGTTGGAGGTTGCTGTGAGCTGTGATGTCACCGCACTCTACCAAGGACGACAAAGTGAGACTGTTTCTAAAAAAAAGAAAATAATATTTGCTTCAAGATGCTAGAGTTGGCTCGGCGCCTGTGGCTCAAGCAGCTAAAGTGCCAGCCACATACACCTAAGGTGGCGGGTTCGAATCCCCAGCCCAGGCCCGCCAAACAACAATGATGGCTGCAACCCAAAAATGGCCAGGCGCTGTGCCGGGCGCCTGTAGTCCCAGCTACTTGGGAGGCTGAGGCAGGAGATTCGCTTGAGCCCAGGAGTTGGAGGTTGCTGTGATCGTGATGCCATGGCACTCTACCCAGGGGGATAGCTTGAGGCTCCGTCTCAAAAAAAAAAAAAAAAAGATGCTAGAGTTATTCTAGCTAGTATGTATTTGTTCCAAGAGCTTTAATTGCATCATGTCATCAAATCTTAGTGACCCTGTGTTTCAGCCAGTCACAAATTCTTGCCATTTCTAATGTGGGTAAAACTCAGGTAAGGGCTCAGTATCTTTCCAGGTCACAGAAGCTAAGGGATAGCACCAGCCACAATCATGAGGGGAAGAATGTTATCCTTCACCTATGCAATCCTAGAAGAACCTGTTACTGAGTCTTACATATAGCAATCAATCAAAAAATATTTTTGAATTAAAAAATATTAATATTTAAGCCAGGCACAGTGGCTCACATCTGTAATCTCAGCACTTGGGAGGCCAAGGTGGGTGGATTGCCTGAGTTCACAGATTTGAGACCAGCCTGAGCCAGAGCAAGATCCTATCTCTAAAAAATAGCCAGGCGTTGTGGCAGGCGCCTGTAGTCCCAGCTATTTGGAAGGCTGAGGAAAAAGAATCACTTGAATCCTAGAGATAAGATTATTGTGAGCTAAGATGTCACAGCACTCTACCAAGAGTGACCAAATGAGACTCTGTCTCAAAAAAACCAAAAAAAATTAATAATTAAAAATCATCAAACGTTAACACTGTTCTAAAAACTTATTTCAAGTGTGCCTTGCTTAAGGGAAATTCAGATTATAAGAAAGGCAAACTAGGGTGATTATTTATCTAAGTTTATACAACATTATTCACTTTATATAAGTCACTATGGGTTTCTTTTAAATTCAAAGCACCCTTCATTCTTTACCCAAGCACTGAATAATCCTGTATTAATCATGGCATGGCCTTTGGAATAAAAGTCAAATAAGTGCTGGGTACAGTGACTCACCCCTGTAATCCTAGCACTCTGGGAGGCCAAGGCAGGTGGACTGCTTGAGCTCACAGCTCATGAGTTTAAGACCAGCCTGAGCAAGAGATCCCTTCTCTACTAAAAATAGAAAAATCAGCTGGGCATGGTGGTGCATACCTGTAGTCCCAGCTATTAGAGAGGCTGAGGCAAGAGGATTGCTTGAACCCAGGAGTTTGAGGTTGCTGTGAGCTATAACTTTACAACATTTTATACAGAGGAACAGTGAGACTGTATCTCAGAAAAAAAAATTATATATATATATATGTATATATAGAGTAAATGCTAATAAGGCTGCCTTGGTTCATTTAATTTAAGATTTGATTTACATAAGAAGCGTTAGGGCTCTAATACACCTCCAAGTAAGGGATTACAGATCTTCTTGAACACTCAAAGGTTCGGGATGAATTTTCACTTTAACTCCTAACCTTTGAGTCTTTGACCTTCAGTCTTCCAAATTCTTAATTTACTTTGTAGAAATGAAATACACACCTTGCCCCTGGGGCCACTCTTGTGTTTAGAAAGGAAATACAGTGCCCTGCACTTTGCAACAGCTATTCTTCTGACAGCAGGACCTCGCGTAGCATTCGAAAGTGGTAGGATTCTGCAGAAGTGAGAGGAAATCCTCTACTGTTTTCCGGGAAAAAACTACCTTTTTGTCATATTCCCGGTCCCACATGTCATTAATAGTACAGCCTGCTCCACGCATCAGAACAGCTCCAGTGCCAAAGAGGGACAGCATGTACCAATCTGGGAAACAGCCTGGTTCAGCTGCCAAACCAATGCTCCAGGTACACGGCAGATACAGCAGCCAGGTTCCTAAGCAAAAAAAAGACAAGACAAAAAAGGTACAAATTCCAATCAATGAACTATTTTCATTTGTTTAAATACCATATCCCAAAGAAGTAAAGAACACTATTAGCAAAACCAAAAACCCACAAGACTGGGAAAATAAATTTGCGACTCTTATCACAAAGGAATATTCTCCCTAATGTGTAACGAGCTCCTAGAAATAGAGAAAAGATCAACAGTCCAATTAAAAAATAGGCAAAATACACTACAGAAGTTAAAAGAAAAAGAAATATAAATGCATATGTGAAGAGATACACAACTTTGAGAAACACACTTTTTTTTTTTTTTTTTGAGACAAGAGTCTCAAGCTGTCGCCTTGGGTAGAGTGCTGTGGCCTCATAGCTCAGAGCAACCTGCATCTCAGGCTCAAGTGATCCTCTTGCCTGAGTTTTTCTATTTTTAGTAGAGATGGGGTCTCTCTTTTGCTCAGGCTGGTCTCAAACTTGTGAGCTCAGGCAATCCACCTGCCTTGGCCCCCCAGAGTGCTAGATTACAGGTGTGAGCCACCATGCCTGGCTGAGAAACACTCATTAAAATGACCTTGAGATGATATTTTTCACCTTTCAGACTGACAAAATTCAAAGTCTGACAACACATCCTCCTTAGGGAGTTGAATATTCTTATGTATTTCTTTCTTTCTTTCTTTTTGAGACAGAGTCTGACTCTATCACCCTAGGTAGAACAAAGTGGCATCATTATAGCTCACAGCAACCTCAAACTCTTGGGCTTAAGCAATCCTCTTGCCTCAGCCTCGAGTAGCACCACTAGGCCCAACCAATTTTTCCGTTTTTTTTTTTTTTTTTTTTT